AAAAAAAACTGCTTTAGTATTAATAATTACTATACTTATTTTTGTGTTTAGTTGTTGGTTTTGTTGTAGGATACAACTCGAAAGGAAATGTGGCCAAACGATGACGATTAAGACTTTCTCAATCACCTAACACAGGTGGTTGTTCCTCTTTACCAGTCAACGACTGGAGGTTAAAGATCACCCACTTTGCGGAATTCTCTGAACAGGTGAGTCACATCCATACTCTCAGCCGGCATGTAAAGCCAGGAGCTACGTATCAGAGAAGCAATCGCCGAGTGGTTTCCGCCTTCCAAACGTCATGGTTATTTTTAGACGTGTCTGCGTGCCTGTCAAATCGTTCTGACACTACGTCCAAATAATCCCCCGACGCCCTATGCCAAACTCTCCGGAGTAGACTGACCCATAATCTCAGGACATCGTCACGTCATGAGTCAACCTGTGTCCGACACAGAATTTAGACCCATTCATTTTCTTTACAGATGTTACTACAGATGTCTACAGAAGGTACAGATTTACAAGCACAGCGCGGATGAATGTGTTTACTTATACACTTGTTAGAAATTACATATGATGCATAACCGCTCCTTTTTAATACTTTTAAATTCTTTTTTTATTACTGCTATAATTATCTGTATGGAAGCCTTTTATCACATGCGTAACTGTGTCCTATCTTGGCAAGTATTTTGTGAAAACAAGATTTGTTAAAAACCACACATGATTGTAGTATTCAGCATTGCGGAAGCCTCAACTCTCAACATCTAAGAATGTAAGTATATGGCCCCATCCGGTGGTTCAAACGTTTACTGCAGTTTCTGTTGCCAAAGCCATTTAACCAGTAGATAGTACTATTCCACAGGGGTTGCCAGATTTTCTAATTTCAGAAAAAAAACGTTTTTAAATCCAGTCTCGAATTTGTTAGAGTGTGTAGTTCAAGTGATTTGTATTTAATTTCTGAATAATCTACATTATTCTGTTCAGATTATGAAGCTCTATTTCCGAAATAAAAATATTTGAAAAGATGAGCTGTGAAATTAAATGATCATCCAACAAAAAAATTGAAGATGACCCAACTCAACCAAGTTCAAGAATATTTAAACTAAGGTATTTAATAAATCTTATCGATTAAAAAAACTCAAAATTAACCATTCAGGGATACCTGCCATAAAAGAGAGACACATTATGTGTCTTCTGTGTAACCAAGGGACAAAAGAACAGTGAAGAATATCCATCAGTACATAAAAGCTTATGGCCACAAGACCATGGGATGTTTCAGGCTCACCTTAGCCGTTCCTGCCTCAAAGCTTTATCAAACAGAAAATGGTCTGAGGCACAGAGGGTGTCTGTATTCTGAATCCACACTGAACGCTGGATTCCACAAGAGAGAGGCTGTCAAATTGAGGCTTGTCTCCAATCCTATCAATCAATCCCGTTATCTATACTGCTTTTTCCCAGTGAAGTCTCCAATTCTACTTAAAGGAGCAAAGTCCTCTGTTTGGAAATGAACAAATAATGGGATCTGTTAACTATGATGGCGCACAATAAGTCAAAGCATGACAGAGGACTTAAACCACCATTGTACCTTAAATTCCAAACACGTGTTCAGTCTCAGGTTGGATGCTGGTATAGTGGTTAGCACCCTTACCTCAGAGAAAAAATGCTCCTGGTTTGAATCCTGACTGGGGGGAGGGGGGCTTTCTTAATGGAGTTTGCATATTATCTCTGTGTATATTTGGATTACCTCCTATATTCTTGCATCCTCCCACCATCAAAAAGCATGCATGTTAGGTTGAATAGTGTGAAGGAGTGAGTGTGAGACTGAATGGTTGTTTGTCTCTGTGACCGTGGATGGACTGGTGACCCTGTATAGGGTGTACCCTGCTTCTGGAATTGCCCTCTTGCTGCTCTACTTGGATTTAACAGGTAAAAAGGAATTGCTGAATGGATGGAAGTGAAGCCTCTATGATAGAAGGTTGCCATTGCTTATGTCAGATGGAGCACTGAGATCCAGTAGGACAAGCACAGATTCCCCCTTTAGAGTCCAAGAGGAGATCTTAATACAAGATTTGAGTTGCACATCAGTATGTAATTTACTTGCTTTTGGTACTCCTTACATCCTTAGAACAAATAAGACAGTTGTGTACACACAAACCATAAATGACATTGTTCAAATTGAGGGATGTTGTGGTTCTGTTGAAACACTCCCTTTTTGGAAGCGTGTCTCGAAAATTATTATATTCTATATAGTATATTGTATAGAATTATTATACCACTGAATCGATGATACAGTCTTCCATTATGCAAGACGTCCAAGCCTCTGGACTCTGATGTATCTCATCACAGCTGTTGGCTTTTGCACCTATCCAACAGCCAAGAAGGTCTCGCTTCTCTTTAACAAATAGAATAAGAAGTCTGTTTTCCGGCATTGGAAATGTGGATAAATCTGACCACAGAACAATTGCTCTTTGTCTTTTAGTTCATGTGAGATGAGCTCATGCCGGTGAACTCGGCAGTGTTTTCTGTACAAAGTTGAGCTATGGCTTGCTCATTGCATAAGACAGCTTTGGGTTACAGTGCAGGATGCCATGGTGGGTCGTGTTGAATGAAAATGGTTTTCCAAGGTACAACTGAAACCATGTGGCTAAACCGATAATGGTGGTATGGCAATTTATCATGGAGCACTAACTCAGAGTTCAAGGACCATGGGCATCCAACACTGTGTGCTCACCCAGGCCTTTATGCACAGAGATTACTCCAGACTCCCAGAATCTTTTCACTGTAATAAGCACATTGGAAGTTAAAGGACCTTGTTTGTTTTGCATAATAAATTAAACCTTTTTACTGAAACTGATTAATTATTTTCTAATGGAGTTTAACACAACAGGGTCAGCGATAACCGTTTTGCAAAGAAAGATTAAACTTAATGAGAATGCTCTTATGTATTTAATCCTGACACATTCACATCGGACAAATATAACTACTGGTGACATAATCTTCCACAATGGTGATACTTGTATATTCTCCAAACTTTAAAAAAAAAAACCTTGCGTCTTATAGTATTTTTGTGCATTGACTGCATAGTTTTTGTTCAATTGATACAATTAATTTAGATAGTAACTACACTGATAATAATTTCCTCATACTTGAGTCCACTGACAAAACATTAAATACACAAACCACAAAGATGTGACCCATCTTTAGACTGAAAAAAGACAGCTTTTTATTTCAATATTTGCATGATATGATCTCATACTAATGTACAGAGAATTTTTCATAATCACAACATAATTGAGTATTCACAAAATCATATCACAGTATGTGAGTAATTTAGATCAGAATAGCAGTATATACAATATTGCAATCAACTTAAAAGATAATAAAAAAGGATTTTTTGTTTCCCACAACTTGGCACATACAGAAAACCCAGAGGGAAAATAGCACCAGGTTGAGAACTTGCTGAATACCTGACTGAATTCTATGCAGATTTGAAAAAGAAAATAATAAAACAGTGCAAAGTCTTGTCACAGATTGTGATGTTTTTAAAATATATATATATAGCTAATTATTTAGGGCTAGATATCAGTCTCTAGTTAACTGTTCAGACAGCAACATATTATTTTAGATGTTTAATAATAACTGTCCAATTAATTTTCAGGGTGAAATGTGGAAATTGAACATTGTATGATATAACATGAGAAACCTTTAAAAATTACTTTGAGAATAAGTTTCCATCAGCTCAATACAACAGAGAACTATGACAATGATGACTTCAACTTCAGAGAGAGGAAGGAGTACCTTCTGGGAACCATAATCCCACAAAGGAAAAAAAAAAGATTTATTAATGAGATTGTGACTACCCTTGAGGTTGAGTTTGTATGATGCTCTGCTAATCTACTTTAACTAAAGAACTAAAAGGAGTAAATGAGAACTTTACTGTATGTAGATTTCATTTAAACATAAATGGTACACCAACACACTCATATAATTAGAAAATACAGTACTATTACTTTACTGAGTCTAACACCTTTTTAGTGGCCTAACTGCGATTTTCAGATCATGTAATCAAGTCAGTAGTCTATCCTGCTCACTTAAATGAAATAGTACAAAATGTGCACCTCAGATCAAGCATAAAGTTCCCTATTGCTTATGATTAAACTAGTATAAAACATCCTGAAATGTGAGAACAGAACAAAAGTACAAATGGCCCCGCTATAATAATGATAATGATTTCAGCGCCGCCTCTAGTAAGCCTCCTGTTACACAGGGGGATTCTTCAAGGAACTCAGGCTAATATGTTTGTCATCCACTCCCCACTCAGAACTGGGGACCACATTTTCTCGATGGCTTGCTCTGAAGTCTGTCACAAAGTGACCCTGGCTGCCTTGGGAGACACTTGTGAGCTTGTGTTGACAGGTGTCCGTGTGCGCGCTCTTTGGCAATGTCACTCAATTGCTTTTCTGTCAGACTCGTCGGAACACCTCAAAGAGGGAGGCTACTGAGTGCATACGATAGAAAAGGTTCAGAGGAATGGCAAAGTTGAGAACAGTGGTCCATGTAGTGAAACCAAATGTCTCCTGCTCCAGGCCATTGTCGTATTGTGGCCTGCAGCCAAAGGCAGGAAGGATCCACAACTGAAAGAAGAGAGAAATGTAATTAGTTCATCCAGACTGCATTGGTTTTTGAAAAACATTTTCAGAAACATCTCTGAAAAAATGCCATGTGAAGAGAAAAGCATCCTCAGAGGTGAAATCACAAGATCATAATTTCAGCGTGTTTTGTCATGTTTGGTTTGATTATAACAAAAGTAATGTTTTCAAAAGCAGTTGTTGTGATCTGTCGTCACACCTTTGAAGGAATTCTGGGGATTCCAAACAGGCCTTGAGACTGGTGGAATAAATGTGAAGTTACTGTCACGTATCTGCGTAATATTCACACCTCACTCATAGAGACGCATTTCAATAGTGTCTCAATAATCCCCTGTGTCTACTAGTTTAGATCTGTTCTGTTTGATTCTGCTCAAGGTGTGTTTGGACTAATTCTCTTGTTCTCAGCTTTTGAAAACAAAGCTTTTAACCTGATCGAGACTTAACTGAAACAGAAAACGTGAAAAAACACTGAAACAGCAGAACTGAGGGTAACAGTCATGCTGCTGTTTTTGAACTAATATATTTTCTAAGCACAACACTGATTAGTGAAGACATTTAAGAGCAACAAAAACACTCAGTTAATGTCAAATCTCTACTGTGTCTCAAGCTTGTGGTTACCGCGGGCATAAGCAGTGTTAACTACACTCAGATGGACTGCTGGACTGTTACTGTGGGAGTAAACGCACACTCACCGAAATGTTGCACATGATCATCAAAATAGCAATGTTCTTTAGGACCAGCCTCTTCATATTTAGGGGCTCCACGGGCTGACTTTCCACATGTAGGGGCACTTCCGAATGCTTTCGCTGACATTTGTACACTTGTCCGCTCTCCTCCTGCTCCTTCTCCATGGAGATGCAGGACCTGTCGGCAGCCTCGTAAGCTCTGTTGATGATGCCATTGAAGGGTGGAGCCAGAGAGGAAGTCACTGAAAAGACCTCCGGAGCGGCCGGCAACTCCGGATCCGCCGTCCCAACGCTCTCTTGCTGGCGATAAAGGGACTCGATGATGAAGAGGTTCTGGACATATTTCTCCAAAACGATAAGTATAGAGTAGATTAGGCTGGTCCAGCGGAAGGGGGGGTTGCTGCTACTGCTCAGCACAGCCACTATACTGCACCATGACATGAACCAAGAACCTATGGAGGATCCAAACAGCAGCTCCGTGTCCAGCTGTCTCGAGGGGTTCTTGGATGTGTCCAGTGGCATGTGGTTTGCTCGGTATATGAGCAGACCTGAGGCACCGGAAAAACACATTACCACCAGCATGGTAATGCCATAAATGTAGAACATGGAAATAGCTGACTGGCGGATTTCAAGGGGCCCCTCTATACGGGTAATATAGACCACCAGTATTCCAATAGTGCTGGCAAGTGCAAGTAGCCCCAGAAAAGGACCCACAGTCAAGCCCTGGCTTTTGGTAACCAGACTTTTTCTGTTTGCAGAGAGGTCAATGGTCCGTCCAATGTTCTTCCACATGACGAAAAGCAATGCAGAGACAAAGATATGGTACTCGATGTTGAAGGGGAAGAGGTACATGAGGCTCTTAGAGAACAGCGAGCACGTACTCGTGGTGCAGTTACATTGTGGCTTTGAGTACTCTAGAAAACAAGTTAAAAAAAAAGACAAATTAGAAGATATCAATGAAAATGCTTTACAAAAATACAGCAAAATATAATTTGCATATCGTCAACCTTTTCCTTTAGATTTTTGCAAAACATAGATTTTCTCTGTGACTTCAAGCTGCACATGTCCTGTGACGGCAAAATAAATCCATGCCAGCAGCTCTGGACCTCTGAGTTTGACAGCTGTGTTTTGTTTTCACCAAGCATAGAGTGCATTATCACCAAACATCTCTACTCTGATCAGCTAACACTATTTGCTCTGGTATTTGTTCGGATGCAATTTTGCTGCGACACACTCCATATTGTTTGAAAATGGCCTGAAAATAACCTTTCTCACTTTTAGGGGAGCAGGGAACTTCTTTTCTGTTACTGTTCTATAGATGTGAATAAAAAGTCCAAATGATTTGCAGATCCAGGCTACCACTTATTTTCTTAATTCCTGTGGAAGCTTCAGTGTAACATGTCACATGTTATTGTTTATCTGAGGCTGCATTTACCTCGTCTTCAAACTTGGTAAGAATCAGATAATATTTTTTTATTATGTCATCAAAAAACAAAGTGGAACTGAAGGACAATGAACATTGTTCAGGAGGATGAGCAATAATTTCAAACTAACCCCGCTTCAAGCAGTTACAACAGTGTTAAGACTTTGATGGAGTCATGGAAAACGCATGAGACATAATACTCATTCATATTCTTATTCTAAAAGATAAATAGCATTTTAATGCAAGGACACTTCTTATCCAAAAATCAATTTCTCCCTCTGGATATTTATTTTGAAAAAGTATTTTCACATTTGGCTCAAATAAGGGATCTCAATGCTTATTCCGCCAATTAATTAAACCCCTTTATAGATATCTACATGTAAAATCGATTATTTGTTTTTTTAAAGGTGAAGCATGTAGATAAGTAAAGGTCAAGTCTAATCTTTTTTTTAAGAGTCTGTTTTTATGTAGTGTTTTTATGTAATATATTTATTTCACATGTTACCAAAAAAATAATTGGCACTTTTACTTTTGTTTTTTAATCCATCACAACACACCATGTAGTTATCCTCCAGGTCTGCAAAACCCAATCTGGCCTCTTCCTTGCTCCTACCCCTCAACCCCTAGACCACCTAGACCACCACCATTCCACTGCACCTTTTAATTAAAAGGGGAGCAACATTCAGAGTGCAGCCACCCTCACAGTCAGCCGGATATGAGGAGGAGCAGCCGAACCCCCCAACCTTAGGCTTAGATGTATCAGTTACTGTAATTGCAGCACCCATGAGACTATGTAGCCGGTAGACAAAGCTGTCTGAGGTTAAGAGGGGGGATGCCAACGTGGGCTGTGGTAGCTGAAGTGTGGGGAGAGGGCCTGTTATGGGCTATATGGGAGGAGGAGGTAGAGGTAGAGGGCCCAAATGCTGGATTTCCAAGAAAGAGAGAACATGCTGTGTATAAAACAAACAAAAAGCTTTGTTGAAAACTCAACTTAATACCCTGTGGGACAAAGGAACAAAAAACTACAATAAAACCAAACAAATGATGAACAAACTGATAGAAATCAAACCTACAAGACAATATCTGGGAGAGCAACACAGCCTACAATTACCTGGAACTGATAGAAATCAAACCTACAAGACAATATCTGGGAGAGCAACACAGCCTATACAATTACCTGGAACTGAACAATAACAATGAATAAACAGAAGCACAGGTAATGACAAAACATACCTGTGGCTGAAACTGAAGAAGTGAAAAGCAAGAATGAAAGTAAATTTAACAGAGGGCACAAGAGGAGGAAAGATTAACAAAATAAAATAGAATGAAAGCAAAAAACTCAAAAACCCTAAATCCCAAAAATATGGACCATGACAGGGACAGGGGTATTGGTCTGGCAAATCTTTGTTTCTCGTGAAACCCAATACAGCTGCTGCCGACACAAACAAGACCCATTGGGTGGCATAGTTAACCTCCCTTCCCCTCAAAATCCCTCCTCCTTTCATTTTTCTTTCATCCAATGAAGCGATCTCTCAAGTGGACCATTGTACTTTTCTTCTAGGTACAAGCCAGCAATCAACCTTTTGGCCCTTACCTATAGTGAGGTTTTCATATCCCAGGGCAGAAAGTCTTCTGATGTGCTTGTTCATGAAGTGCTCAGCCTCTGACATCACGCCATTGCACCACAAGAGGAGGTTGGTAAAGACTGCATGGATTACACCAAATCTATGTAGAGAGTTACTGAAAGTCACTCAGCAGCACTTTGAATGTGATAAATCATCTGTCTTCCTGCACACATTAAGAAATATTTAACACATTATTCTGTGCCTAAGTAAAAGAGTGATTTAAAAAGTGAAGACCTCTTAAATGATACAATCAAAAATCTCACAAACCTCTCAAATGTTTCAAAGCTCTTGATGACATCTTTAATGTGAAACCAGAGAAAATGCACCTAAACAAAACATAGAAACAAGAGTCAAAATATTGCAGAAAAACAAAACAAAAACAACTATATAGGTATACTAATCTTAACCTGATTGTTTAAGTTTCTTTACCACAAAGCCTTTCCTTGCCATATGAAGTTACACTCAAATAACATGGACAATGATGGGATTATTTTGTTGCTGCAACAAAGAGCACATTATCCAACGCTCTCCAGTGGTGCACGGACTATAAAGACCTGGTTCCTAGAGCTGATGAAAGGTTATCACTTTATTGAGATTAAGGGTCTGTAAGCTTACCTGTGCAATGGTGTGGGTTGCATGGATGACAGGATATACCGCGAGCACAGCCGACACACAAGACCTATAGCCAACATAATACCCGATTCGGAGGGTGTCCATAATCAGTGAGAGGACAGCAAGGAGAGTCAAACCACCTACCGAGAAAAAGATTCAAGTAGCAAACTTGAGTTATAATTTAAAGACATTAAATATTGCACCAGAAAATAAATAAATGATGCTCTCTTAGTTTATGAATAAAAGACGAGGATTAGATGGCTGGACTGACATTCAATCTTGATTTTGATATTTAATTGGCAAACGAATTAAACGCTGTACCTTCCAATCACACTGCACATGATGGCACATTTTACGCGTTAAACTCCCATGCGTAATCTCACCTCTAATCCAGCATGTGGTGGCATTTACATCTCTCTCGGTGCGTGTGTTTTTCTGCCTATGCCGCGCCAGGATGTACCACATCATCCAGATCAGCTGAAGGATCATGAGGCAGGTGGCGAAGGACAGCAGGTGCCGTTCCTCGACGGACTGGTCGTGGTGCGCGATGGCCAGCATCAGCGCCACGCCGATCAGCAGCAGGTTGGTCCCGTACTGCCCGCTCAGAAACTCCGCGTTCTTCCTCGGATAATCAGCTGACAAGTTGAGTTTTAGTTTGGTGAAGATCTTCTTGTCTTGGTCGGAGCTCGTCGACGACGAGGAGCTGTGGCAGTTCTTGTTCAGACACATGATGTCCAAACCGCCGTGTTCCACCATGCCGAGGTTGATTTAATTATCTTTAACACAATTCCTGTGCTGCAAGAAAAAAGTCCAACCAGTGCGCTATAAGTGCATTTGAGGGAGGCCAGGTGCGGAACTGACTTCTACAAGGTGCTGATTCAGACGCAGAGGTACTGTGCCAACATGAATTCAATCTTCAAGGTCCGGCTCAGTGGTCACAGTTTCAATGTCCAGTCTCACCGTGGATGGGCTCGATGGATGCCAGTGTCACCTTCTATCCCTGTAACTGAAATATCTGTTGCTCTGACAAGCTCGCTGAGTCACAGAAAACGGGATCGCGTTTCACTCATTGGTGATCCCTCACCCCGGTCTTCTTGAAACCCTTCGTATGTTTCGGAGAAATGAGTTGAGCTCGCTGTGCCAACCATTCAGCGTCTGGAGAAGCAAGAACTCAAGGCGCAAAGTTATACACAAATCTAAAAAAAAAGGCTTTACCAAGTTCCAAAAGATAATCTTTCCAATTGCTGGGTCTCGAATATTAAGCGTACATTTTGTGGAAGCGATGAAGGGAAAGACGGCATTTCTGCAAAGCTGTGATCGTTCAGGTAGCAAACATGTGACATGTTTTAGGGGTTTCTTCAAATCCAAGTGCATCCAACTATCCATATATAAGGTCCCACTGCTTTAGGTATTGACTTTCAAATCAACAGGAAAAGAAAATAGTCTCAATTACAATATCTTCTGTGAGCGGATGTTAAGTAGTCCATGTAGACAACAGGAACACAAACCTGTGAAAGATATGATCGATGGGCGGATGTGCTGGATTAGAATAACAAAGGGAGGAGGTCCCATAACAATTGAGCTTTAAAATGAGTAGATTGGTGCTATATTGAAAACAATGTATTCATTGCAGGTCTATAGAGACACATAAAATAACATACTCCTATCAGCCTTGGTCGAATGTGTTTGTAAAGTTTATTTTTCCTTTTTGGGGGCATAGCGCCGTAGACTAATTACGCACTGTGGACAGCAGACATTCTAGAGGAGAAAGGGAGAAAAAGAAAAAGGGAAGAAAGGCAGAAAATGTGGCAATCTAGAGTCATCATACATATAAAAACGAAGTAATTTTTTTTATAGAAATGGGGCTATTCCACATGCTTATGCGCGCGTGTCCTGGTTTAAACAAACTTACTTTATCAGTAATGGATGATAACATTATCAGGTAGCTTCTGTCCTGTCATTTTACTGGCCACATGACCACTTCAGTTAGAGCTTTGTCAAACAATGGGCAACATTTGTTCAGAGGCCCGGTACATTATGCAGATATGAGCCCGGCACCTATGGACTGACACGTGTTTCCACCGCGTCCGGAGGTTGGCTGATCTCTTTTTCTCAGGTGCTAAAATGTTAGACCCATCAGGTTATCGCAGCGGTTCCTCAAGAAAAAACGTCACGAGAACAGGGGCGATGATCGAGTTAATGCGTTCAGCCGTTGAGTAATTAATCAACACGATAACAATTAGAGAAGAACTGTTCCGTACAGGCGGCCTTTATGTAACGGACAACAGATAAGACCGAGGATTTTGGTCAGCAGGAACATCCACAAAACATCCCAGGGAAAGCAACACAAAGCTTAAGTCTTTGTTCATTTAAACGTGACTTTCTTTGGATCAAAACTATTCAATATTCACTTTGAACCTTTCACATCTGCTCATTTAACAAGACTATTTCCACATAATCTTTTCTCCAACAATCTGTGCTTGTGAACTGCAATGAGGACAAAAGTAGAGAGGGAAATTGGTTACACCAGTTTATTATGGAAAGACACAAATAGAAAACACCATTTGAACCACAAATGGTTTCAGAACAAATCAAGTATCAAGTATTAAGCTGAACAACTAGAGTTTCTTTCACTGTTAAAATGGTAGCTGGTTTGTATGTTTTTATAGTCCATCCAAATACTTAAAACAAGTTAAATAAAATTCGAACATAAAATGTAAGAGGCACCAAAGATCGTTTGTCATGTTAAAGAAACCCTAAAACTAAGATTAGGCTGTTTAGTGTGTGACTTCCAGAGGAAGGGGGCGTGGGGACGGATGGGGGGGAAGCCCTGCCTCCTGCTCAGCTCCCATAGGGCAACGCAGAACCACGGCATCTCAGGATGGTGGTAAAGCAGGAAAACGGAGATAAGGGGGGGTCACACTGATACTCTTTGAGCTGGGAATGATGCAATTACTGGAGAGGGCACCCAAAAAAAGGAATTCACCCTCTCTCTTTGGAGAAGCACAAAATAAATTAAAAAAATCATACACCCAGATCATTAAAGTCAGCAGAAAACTAAGTAATCCTAGAGTGTGGTCCTACTTCCAGTTCACACCACTAATAGTGAGAGCGTCTGCTGTTGTTACAATTGGAGCAGCAGACTGTGGTCATTTGTAAAGGAGACTCAGACAGAACAGACAGATGGAGCGCACGCCATCTTAACAGAGCAGTAAGTGCATTTACGCTGTCAGGTGAGTTCTACTGGGTTCTATTAATAACTAATGTTTTATTCATGTCCACATTAAGACCACAAATACTGTGTGCTAGCCATGGATGACACACTGTGGCTGAAGGGGGAATGAATTCTGTAGCTGCAAAACAAAAAGATAATACAGTTTATTGCACGAGCGGAACAGTGTAGAGCACACAAACAGTCCTCATAACACTTAATCATGAAAATTCTTCGTAGAACTTTTATGAACTCAGAATCCTACCTTTTTAATTCATCCAAGCACAGAGATGAACATGACCACGCCCATGAACTGGGTGAAGAGGATCAGAGGAGTGAAGAAGGACCACACTGGCCAAAGTGCAATGTTAAAGCTGGAGGAGAAGCACAACAAAGACCATAAAGCAGGGTTTCCTGCTTTTACACCTTTTCACAGTTGTTGAGGAGGAACAAAGTGATGACTTTAAACATTGAAAGAATAGTGTTGGTTAACAAACAAGAAGTCACTTTTTCATGATACAAAATAACAATTTGCAACATAATGCAACTAATGAGTCAAACTCCTTAAACGTATTTTCTCCTTTAAGGGCCTTCCCAGTCACTGGAACTTTTATAAATCTCCTAGTACAAGTATAAAAATGATGAATGTAAAACAAGTCTTTTCAAATGATGTTACTACTGACAGAGAATTTGAAACTATTTTCATCCTCTTTAAGTGTAATTTGCTGCCTTATAAAACAGCCACACACTTTGAGCTTATCTGTAAAAAAATTACCAGATCTGCTTAAAAGGTTCAGCTATACACAAAATTATATTGATGTATTGTTGAAAAGTGTTTAGTTCTGTGCTTTACATGGTTTCTTCTATTCCTTTAATCCTTATGTCCTGCTCCTAATTGCAATTGCAATCTAGTTCTTAAAGCATTGTTGTGTAGTTACAAACGGTTATTTGAAATCTCTGCACTTTGATGAGGCCTTAAATTGTAAGGACTGCGCAGTAAACAGGAATACCACTAATCTGCTCCCGTCTTACCTGCATGATGCAGCAATAAAGGCTGCAGTGGTGATGGGGGGAATGGCAGGGTACTCTTGTTCATAGTGCTGGATGCCTTTGAACCACTCCAAGTATACGATGCAAAACATTGCCAGGGACAGGCATATCCCGAGCAGAACCAGACCAATATTAAACCACCAGCTGGAAAACAGGGCAAAGCATGTTAATACGCACAGCTGTTAGCAGTCCGAAGAAAAAAGGAACTGAATAATCACAGAGTGATAATTGCTGCCATATGTGATGAAGACACAAGAGAATAAGGAGCACATAGTTGTTAAAATGGCTTTCGGACTTATAACATTACACAGTAAATGGAACTCATTGGCTACGTTGACCTGCTTTCTGTTCGAATCCTCACATCACATTTACCTTTTGATATCGTGATCATCTATGATGACACGGAGAAAGTCTGCGTAGTAGGTCACAGCTACAGATGCTACGATCCAGAAAACTGAGTGCTTGTTAATGCGAGGGAGTGGTTTCACGTCTTTTTCCTCCTGGCCTGAAAGGTAATACAAAGTTTAGAGAAATGTTTATTCTCATATATCAGAAAGAATGAAGTTCCTATTGTAACAGCCAGGTTCACAGTAGTATTGCATACGTTTTACTTTTTACTTAAAAAGTGAGTATACTGTTCTGTTACATTCAACACAAAGAAAACTGTAAAGACAAAAGAGAACAATAAGTTGTATTGAGAAGATTATATGGTTTCTTGATGACTATATTTTTGCCATTCGTCCCTACAATGACAACTGAATGGGAGATTTATCTTTCCCTCAATAGAAAATTCCTCCGCTCAGATTTAAGCAGCTTTTGAGGTGAAACTGATAGGTTTCTTCTAGATAATCTTACCCTCGGAAAGCTATTAATCTCTATAATTTACTGGATGATTAAACATATCAGAGCTGGTTACTGGCTGCTGAAGTGGTAAAGCATTCTGGACTTCTCAGTTCCCACAATGAACTCAACGGCTTAGACGAGCAGCTGCCCTGCACCTCCATTTAATGTTGGAATAGTTTCACTGTAGAATCAAGGAAAGAATTAAGAATCGCTGGGATTCTGCCAGTCAGGGCCTCAGCCAAACAACTGTCCTCTGTAAAAACTCACAACAAGACACAACAACCAGTAGAAAGAAAGATGCAGACACAACACCACATTTGAGTCTAAATCTTAAGAGGGATTGTGTTTAGTTAGCTACACTGCACCGTATAACTCATAAAGACTAGTTGTCAGTCACTGCAAGTGAGTTCTGCTATCAAATAAAACAATGTAAAAGATTAGTCAAATGACATGTTAGAACTAATTATGTTGCAACCTGTTGTTTCCAAAACTAGTGGGGAACAGAGCAGAATTCAAGTGAACTAGAAAAGCATGTGTTGTTTAAAGGACAAAAAAAGAAGCTAAGTCTTACTATCTGTAATGGAAAATTTAACAACAATAAACACGCACACACACACACAAAGACCGGTGACTCCCCAACTGAATAAATACATCTGCCCGTTGGAACAAAGAAGGACTTACAAAAAGAAATATCACGTGATCAAAGATCTCAACTGCCTTTAACAGTTTTCTGTATTTTAATGAAGATTTATTTCTGTACTGTATATGGCTATTTTGCTTTGTCTTGTCACTTTCCTTTTTGTGGTTGACTCTCGCTGATTTGCATGTCATTGCCATCACTCCAATGAGTAATGAGTCTACCTCTTCTTAACAAATGTTGGTGTAGGTAGAAAAGACAGTTTATGTTAAGTTGCACTCAAACGTTATATCGGAGTCAACTGACTTCACTGGAAGCCTTCCAGTGTTGGTCGCTCTGACAAGAAACTTGCTCAAATTTGTTATTGCCAGTGTCACATTTCTGAAGCTTACTCTTGTCATCTTCCTCAGCTGACGTCGTTGTTTGCATGAGAAACTCCGCATCTCTTTTAAATCTATTTCGCAGCGTCGCAAAATCACTGTCATTCAGCATCTTATCGACTCCGGCTAGCTCCGTAAGCTAACTGGGGCTCTGGGATCCACTTCCTGCTAAGAAGCAGCGTCGCTTTTTTATGACGCACTGCCAACGGACGACTGTAGTCTTCTACGAATACAGTCTGGGAAAAGGAAAATCAAAACGTCTGTAATACGGAATGACAGTAAAAAAAAAAAAAAGGAGAAATAATTCATTATTCAAACAATGAATTGATTAACTTGACACCATATAATGATCACTAGCCTAGACTGATCTGAGTGTTCTTCTACTGTGGGGGATGTCAAAAAATTAAAAGTAGCCTATGCTTGATGTTTGTGTTACATTTGGTCATTGAGTTGAATTAACAGCATCAACACTTGTAATGATTTTAAATGTTAAAAATGAATGTTACATTTATTTCCTTGTGATATATTCCAAAACTGGTAATGGTCTTGGAATATATCAGAAGGAAATAAATTAAACCTTTGTCAAACTTAGCGCTTAACTTTAAAAAAAAAAAAGAATTTACTGGCAACCCTTATAAACATCACAGGTAACAGTGGCTGGCTAAATTCCAGTGCTCCTCTTGTACTACTTGTGTGCATTTACACAGAGAAAGAACTGGACACTGCTGATGATGTTGCCCTACTTCTGAACTCTCTGGTGGAAAGTCAGGATGGATTGCTTTCATTTTCTGTATAGTGGGGGGGAAATATTGTAATTGTTCACGAGAATTTATTTTAAGAGCAACTTCCAAAAGAGGTTGATGTTCTTTGTGTCTGTGCATTATTAAGGCGTGATTTGGGAAAAAGTCAAATCAATTTATTTATAGGCATTTTTAAAAACCACAAGCAGACAAACCAGCGTTGCTTCTGGAGAGGCCATCCTGCTGTCTTGACTCCAACTGATGAGGGCAGAATTTTGACGTGGAAAAACTTGACAATCCCATAGAATTATGCTCTTATGACCCTGGCTTCCCTGGTCCACATGATTGTGTAAGACAGTAAACCTCACGTGCTGGTCAGCAGTATGTGAAAGGGTGTACAAAAGAGAGAAAGGACTGCTCAGGCTGAAAAACAAGTATAGAATAGGACATGTTGTATGAATGTGAGAGGCAAAGGAGAGTGGTCATTATAAAATCAATTTAAACAAACAAAACATGGTATAGCTTGGTGGTGAATATAATGAAAGTCAAAATAAGGATCTTTTTACATCTTTAATTACAACTATTTTGCAGTACAATATTGAAAGAATTCAATCAGTAAAGTGAAACTAATGTGCTTATACAACTGTTCATGAGGCCATCTAAAAGAAGAGAAAACATGAATATCTTTTCAGGTTTTGTTTTTAATTTGTTTTTAATTTGGATTAAACGAGCTACAGAACTAATAAACTAACTCCGATTCTACTAACAGATGTCGTTAACTATGTTTTTGGAATGAAACTGCCTGATCATTTGGAATAATTGCAGGTTTATATCAAAAGTGGAAAATTTACTTGATCCCGAAAAGCCAAGTTCATCCAAAAGGCGTTCAATCAAAGAAAATGTATGCTTATATACTTATTTATTTACATAAGTGAAGAAAGGTCTGATTTCATTAACCTGTGAGGTCTGGATTAAATGGCAAGAATTAAGCTCTACAGAAATCCACTGAACTAGAAAACATTGTTTTAATACAAGCAAACCTGAGTAACAGCTTGACTAATACCTGGAGTATGCGATATACTGTTTCAAGTGAGACGTGTGATGAATGAGTCAGTGTTAAACCTGATGGGATTAGCTGAGCTTCATAAATCGGGGCAGATTTCCTCCGGTTGTGTGTGTGTGTGTGTATGTGTGTGACTGCACAGCGTAAAGAGGCGGCTCATTCTCGCTGTGGAAAATCAGAACGCATTAAAACTTCACCTGAGGCTGACACCAAGCGTCCTGCCTCTATGGAGCTTCTGTGTCTCTGGCCAAGTGAACCCGGTTCGGGCTGTGGAGGAATGTGCATTAGCTGCGTCCCGTGTGAGAGTCAAATTCACCTCAGGTGCACCTCTCCCGTTTCCCTTCCCCCACTCCAACATCCAATCCCACAGATAAGGTGCCATTTCCCAGCGTTACTGTGGGCTTGGAATGTGAAACAGTGTAAACCCCCCCAAAGAAAACTGCCATTTTATATATCAAACATCAGTGGTATGCTATGAGGAAGCTTTTATTAATCTCACTGACCAGGCCAACAAAATACACAGCAACACTGGACAGGAAACAGGATTCAGTCAAAAATGAATTTAATCATGAAGACCGTGTCATGTGTATAAAAACCATACAAAGAAGTATGGCAATACTGGGATTTTGGAATTTTAAAGTCTATGGACAACATGTAAGGTGTCAAAAGGGGGGACTACTTTACAAGTTTAACTCGTTCTTTCAAAACTCTAAATTTGGGATTTTTGTTGACCTTCTTGTTGAAAAGAGCCAACACCTCCTCTTCCGTTTTAAAATTGCTGTCACCAGTGAAAGAATAGTAGGCTCCCAAAACCTGCAAAAGACAAATAAACCCTTAACATCAAACTGAATGAAGACAAGGCTTACCTTGAAATGAATAGTGAGGCCAAGTTGGTGACTTTTTAGAGGCCTGTTGTGTAAAAGCCGGGCATCACAGATTTCACAAAGTGCTCCACTTCATGTCTCACCTTCTTCCTGAGTTTCTTCAGAGGCAGCTCCTGGTCAGGTGACTCTTTCAGCACTGCCTTGATGTTTCCCTTCCAGTTGAATTTTCCTGGGCGTTGAATCACAAAGATAAATTAGCTTTCCAGATGGTTAATTTGATACTGCTGGAAATACAACTCTGACCTCTGCTGGCTCTTTTTTATAATACATTACATTACTTATCACTCAAAGCTTCCAACTATTTATAAACTATTGACTGGGATTTTAAGTCACTAAGTAGTTTGTAGAGTTACCCTGAACAGCAGCTTGTTTTTCCGTCTCTTCTGCCACGACAGCCTCAGTATTGTTTGCAGCTTTGAGGAATGGAAAAAGACAATGAGAGTTTAATGTTAGAATAATGTTCCACATATACTCATATATTTTCATCTAGAATCTATTGATGAAAGTATTTTGTCTTATCTATCGAGTACAGCATACTTTTTTTAACACACAAGCTGAACATTAACAAAAATGAATAAACACTTTGCCTACTTTTTGCCTTCTTGACAGAAGTGTCAACATCAGAATTGGTCCCATTGTCCTCTTCATCTTCCTGTTCATGTTTTCTCTTTCTGCCTTTTTTCTTTTTTTGGTCTTTGCCCAGTTCTCCTGTGACCGTTTGTTCATCACTCTTTGCAGCCTTTCCATTCTTTTGCTGACGGGCCTCTTTACGCTCCCGCTTGTTCAGTTTCTTCTTCTTTACCTCAGCATTTGCTTCACCATTTTGCTCTTCAGTTCCATTCGTGCCGACTGGGACTTCAGCCACAGTCTCTTTACATTCTGGAACCTGGTCTTTGGCCTCAGGAGCCTTAAAGATATCATGGTTATGTATAGAGGATCATAGATACAATGCATAAACATGCAGTCACAATAAACAGCAAGAGCAACTTACACTGTCAGCTGCAGCAAGTATTTCCCAAACTTCATCATGGAGGTTGGTGTTGGCTATCTTTAGACTGTTTTTCATCCAGTTCTAAGGGGATTAACAAAACATACAATCATTTTCATTTGTGCTTTCAAGTTGCTATGTAACTTGTGTTTTTGCATTTTATTGTGAATATTTAACACCCCCATCAAAAAAATATTTCCAATTCGAATATTTTTATGTGAAACACCTTAAAGCATTATTGCATCAGACCATTATAACTGACCATATAAACTTTCCAATATCAGCTACAGAGGGGGTAGTATCCAATAACTAGCACAACTTGGAATATATCAGTAATTTTAACCTATTAGATAAACTATTTGTACACCAACCTGAAACTTGGCTTTCTTCCTTGGTACATTATCATATGTGCTAACTTGTCTCAGCACATCTTTCAGCTTGGGACTCACACCAGGCTTGTTCATCGCTTCATGGACTCTCTGTAGGGAAATATGCAGGAAATAAGTAAAAAGAAAAGAAAAACATGTTTGTCCTGAATTCTTTTGGATATCAATGTTAAATTAGCCATGTTTACCTGTAGCCATTGCTGCTGTTTCACATCTCCCTTGTTTGCCTTAGCCTCGTAGCCTTTGCCTCCATACTTCTGGTCTTCACTTATACATTTGTTATGATTTTTGTAGTCATCGCCCCTATTAACATGCGCAAACACAAACAGTTTTGGCATCGTTCTTGCCTCCACCAAGGGTTGGAAGTATTTACATCAGACAAAACTACGTGAACCAAAGATTTTAAGAACTTGGCCAGTCCTTACCAGAAGTCTTTTCCACAGTCGATGCAGGAGAGAACCTGACAACCTCGGCACATGTTCACGTGTTTGTCAACCTGAGCTTTTTTGAGGGATTCCCCACAGGCGTTGCAGGTGAAGAACACCATATCTGTTGCAAATACACAGCTATACAATTACAGCTGCTCTAAATAAAAACAAATAACGTGTTATTCAAAGCAATAGTAGAAACGAAGTGTTCTTTCAAAACTAGGATCTTCTACACCAACCGTGCAGCTATAGCCAAAAGCAAGTAAATGTTTAATGGACTATAGATGTTTTGAATTTCCATTAAGCTTTGAAATCGTGAAAGAATACAAACATCCCGGCTCTTTCATAAAATAGTTTTCAAACACACACGTGACTACATCTATACACTAAAGCTACGTTATTAATGTTCCGTAAGCAAACCCAAGTCATAGATTAGTTCCGATCATGACTACCAAAGTGCTGTAACAAAGCATATTTTTGCAAAAACATAGGAAATAATATTTTGATCATATTATTTGCCACATTAAATTACATCAAACTATTTAATACTATAGTTTATTTGCAGATATTTTGGTCGCGTCTGCTTCGTGTTTAAGGAACTCGAAATGCGCGCTGTACCAGGAAGTGACGTTTTGTTTTTTTACAGTCGAAAAGTGACCCATCATCCCAATAAAAGGTGAAATAATTTGATCAAGTTTTCGGCTAATCTATTCGATAACTTTACAAAACAAGTCCTATTTAGAACAAGTTTGCCCATTTAATAATTTCGTGCGTCATTGCCTCACTTCCCTCACGGCTGTAGTTTGTTAGCATAGCTCTGTATTTAGCTCAACGGTTTACGGCCAATTTTTGCATGGGTGGTCTCGCTGTACGCGTACAGTTGTGGGTGGTGGGGCTGAATATTATGAAAAATGTAGCGTCATTTTAAACACGTTGTCGGCACACTGCACTAGTCCAGATGAATACATTTGAATTATGGCTAGCCGCTTAAGTATGTTCTTGTGCCGGTTTGATTTGTTTTTCTTTGTGGAAAGGTTGGAGTTAAATGGTCCAGCGGCGAAGTGACCATGGACCCGCTGTCAAACCACAGCTCCTACCTCCTGCAGCAGCTCCAGGAGCAGAGGATTCAGGGGCTGCTCTGTGACTGTATGCTGGTGGTCAAAGGTGTGTGCTTCAAGGCACACAAAAATGTTCTGGCTGCCTTCAGCTCATATTTCAGGTGCCTTGTTTTTTTATGTTATATAGACAAATCTGCATGCTGAGGTGTTACAGAGTGATAAATATGTGTAAATTCTGACAACTTTTTTCAGATCTTTGTTCCAAAACTCGCCCAGTCAGAAGAATGATGTGTTCAACTTGGTTATCCAGGATGTCAGTGGCATCGGGCAAATATTGGACTACATGTACACCTCCCATCTTGATATTAACCAAGATAATGTACAAGCACTGCTGGACATTGCGCAGAATCTACAGGTTCCAAATGTTCAGAGTATGTGTAATGCTTTCCTTAAACCCTGTCCTCCACCAGTGGAAATGCCACCCTTCACTCTCACGGGCATGTTAGGTTCAGACCATGATTGCCTTTTGGGGAGCAGTCTTCCTCATGATGTTGACCTCCAGTGTCCCTCTGAGCCTCAGAGGTCTGGCTTCTACAATGACATGGAACATGCTAGAAGGATGGCGGCTGTTCCTAACAGCGGTTCAAACTGTGACTTACCAAGCGGCGCTCAGGCACCTGCAGAAAAGCAGCTAGTTCATGGATACAAGCTCCGTAATTTCTACAGTAAGCAGTACTTCAAACAAAGCGCAATTCAGACTAACACCGCTGCCTCAAACCAAGGCCCGGGACCGTTGGTATTGCTGGAGGAGCAGCAGTGTCAGCTTGGAATCAACCAAGGTGGTAACACAAACCCTGTGAGGTCAGGGAATACTGTTCAGCACAACCCCTCTTGCACATCTATAGCGGTGGAAAAAACCCCAGTTTCCTCATTGACGCCCTCGGATAATTTAAACCCTCCTAACTCTGATTTAGCTGATGCCATGGAGAACAAGCCTGTTCGCCCAAAGAAGGCTGTTTACCTGAAAAAATACAACTACCTCCGGTCTCAGATGGCTTTGGAGGAGATGTGTGCTGAGTCGGTTACTGAACCCGTCCTCAGCTGTCCCAAAGAGAGCCATCGGGAGGAGTCTGCGGTCCAAACCGAGGCCCCAGAACCTCCTGTGGAAGCAGGCGCTGCCAGTAGAGAGGAGGACTCATCTGAAACAGCAGACGTCCAGCTGCCTGTTCCTCCTCCCATAAACCACGAGGAGCCAAATCCGAAGCCTGCGGCAGAACCTGTACAGCAAACGGGACACAAACAGTACTGTTGCGAGGTTTGTGGGAAGATCTTCAAACACCCGAGCAACCTGGAGCTACACAAGCGCTCCCACACCGGTACGGAATGTTCAAACTGCTTCATCTTCGGAATTCATTTGATAGTTTTTACAGACTTGCTTACATTATGTGTTACAGGTGAGAAGCCCTTCCAGTGCAACATTTGTGGGAAAAACTTCTCGCAGGTATTGTGTGGTGCTTTATTCTGATTAGTCTGGCACTTTTTGATGGAGGCATCGTATTAAGATGTCAGTGCTCCGTCCGCAGGCTGGAAATTTACAGACGCATTTGCGACGACATTCTGGAGAGAAGCCATACATCTGTGAGTTATGCGGCAAAAGGTAAAAGACCTATTTTATACTATGCTAATTTGTATATCTTTTTATTTTACGATGGTTGTGTTGGTGCTTTTTTGTGTTAGTTTTTGCTGTCCTTGTTTGTATGCTTACTGGCAGAAAAAGGTGCCTTATAATTTCCTTACTTGCAATACAGCAAAACAGTTTTTTTTTTTAAATATCATTTTCAACTAGATAGCCAGTCACATAAGTGACAGTCTTTCTGTTTGTGTATCCAACCATCTGTCTAAAGCTTGAATAGCATTTAAGGTTAAAAATCTAGAAACTAATAAATAATTGTAATAGCACATAGAAGATTAAGTCATCTTGATTTTAAGTTGAAAAGGGGCTAACAAATTACTGGAAAGCAAGCTGTCCTAAACATAGTGTTATATTGTCACTGGGGACAGTCTCATAAGTACATTGAATAGTCTAAATACTGGGTTTCTGTTAGTTTTTTTATCATTGTTTGCAATGCTGTTAATTTCAACAATCTGATACTTTTACTCGTGAAAGATGGTTCTTATGGTCATGACTTCATAAAAATGTGCTGAACTTTGCTAGAACTGTGTTGGATACTAAAACCTGAACCAATGATAACCTCAGACTCCTTTGCAGGCATGGATAGGACATTAAGCAGGGTCTTCGATGCTGACTCTTGTTGTCAGTTTTGTGCAAAAGAGTCCTTGGAACATAGTTCTAATGTTGCCTCAAAGTAAAGTCAAATATTCTTCTGTATTTTCCAGCTTTACTGCATCTGGGGATGTCCATCGTCACAAAGTGGTTCACACAGGAGAGAAGCCACATCTGTGTGATATATGTGGCCGAGGTATGCCACCTCTCTTAATTTCCACAGTAGTATTCATTGCATGCTTCATAGCCTAAAGTAATCTGCTGCTGATCTCATAGTCTAATCTAGTTGTAGTTTGAGCCACTGTTTCAGGGCAATCTGTAAAATGACACCCTGTGTGTAGAACAAATATTTCCTTGTCGTGCCTTTTGTACAGGATTCAATAACCTAAGTAATCTTAAGGAGCACAAGAGGACCCATGGAACAGATAAGACGTTTACCTGTGACCAGTGTGGAAAATCTTTCAACACGCACAGAAAGCTCCTCAAGCACAAGGCCCGCCATGCCGGGGAGAAACCGCACAGCTGTGCCACATGTGGTGAGGAGGGATTTTTTACTTGTTCCAAAGCAGAATGGGAATCCTAGCTTTTTGGATTACATTAGGGCCACAATTACACGAAGAGACAAAGATGCATGCGTGACAGTTTGCTGACATCTGACTGGACAGATACAGACACATAGATTTACTCCCTCAGGGCAGCAGCAAATATAATATTTGCTGCAGTGCGTTGTGTTCATTGTTAAAGCAAAGCTGTGCCACGTAGTTTTAAAAGTTAGAACCTCCATCCATAAAAAGTATAAGTTGATGAGATTGTTATGGACTCCACTTGGTCCGGTTTCTTCCTCAAATTCATCCACAGCTAATTTAGCATGGGCTGTAAATGTATCTGGTACAATGTTTCACTTTGAATATTTGCCAATATTTCATGCAGGGAAGTGCTTCATTGGCTCAGGAGACCTGCAACGACATATAAGATCCCACACCGGTGAGAAACCCTACATCTGCAATACCTGCGGAAAGAGCTTCACCCGCTCGGCCATGTTGAGGAGGCACAGCAGCTTACACTGCAAAGGGCCTCCGATGGATAGCCCCGTCCCCGTCAGCTCAGAGCAGACACAGGACTCAGATTCGGCCTCATTCGCCAAACCCAACAGCCACGACAAAGCACCTTCCACTGCCACGGAGCAGCACTTTTCTGCCATGATGCCCAGCACGGGGTCGGATAAACCCTCACCGCCTTCTCCTGCAACCCCACAAGCCACAGCACAGGTAGACACTCCGCCTCCCAGCATCCACCTCAGCCCGGCCGCCACCTCCCTCCCAGAGCTGCGCTCCCTGGTTCCCCATCACCTCCTGTCATCCAGCCACCAGGAAAGAAGTGCCACAGACCGTGTTAAGGGAGCCAAACCCCTTGCGGTTCAGGAGGCCGTTTACGGGCCGTATGCAGAGAATGGGAACATGTCTGTGGACAGAGACTCGGCAGGGAGACCCTACTTGCCTTCGACAGACACTCCGTGTGGTTCCATTTCAGGGTCCAACAGGTCTCACAGGTCTAATGAGGGCCAGTTTATCTCAAGTGTAACTCTGTGGGGCCTGGCAATGAAGACACTCCAGAATGACAATGAAATGGAGCAGTGAAATATTTAATTTATCAAAGACAAGCGCAACATGTCGACATTGACTGCCCGAGGGCGAGTGGGGAATTTTTACATACATATATATACATATACATGTACATGTATACATGACCTGATTTTGAATATTTTTATGGATGAGGGAATACTTTAGGCAATATAGTGTGTATATAAATATATTTATGTGTGTGTATATGTATACAAATCTGTAATGATTATCTCTGTATACACTGCGCTGCACTTTAAAATACTGTATACGCCTAAGGTATTCAATTTTCATGATCTATGTACATTTTGAAGAGTTTTATTCATAGAACAATAAACAAATCTTGTAATCTACTTAGTTTTTTTTCGTGTATTTGTCAATAGAAAATAATTCAGTGTACAGTTGCTAAATTTGAGGTGAACATTTTTTGATTGATCACATAGAAAACTATGCATTTAAGTCACAAGTGAAAAGTTGGCAAGTTTAAATGGTTAATTTGATATAGATTAGCTGTCAATGATGAATGTAAGCAGTTAACTGAACACAGTTTGATCGGTTGTCCTTTAAATTAGGAGGGGAAGGATTTTTTTGTAATCATGGAGGTCCTAACTTTGTGTTCTAAATATTTGTGTGTTTTTTCAAATGATTTTCCTCAGTTGTCAGTATGATTCAGATTTTAATTCCTGATAATTAATTTATGTTTGTTGAAAAATATCTATTAGCTCTTTCAAAGGCACATCCCAAATGTATCACTACTCATAATGCAGTCATTTGAGAATAGAACAGAATAGAAATATCCTTTATTGTGACTCATTGATGAAATTTAGGTCTATCAATATTGACAGGAAATACTGTTAAAAAATGTAAACACTATGTACATTTTTACATAAAAAGACAACAACAGAGTATTTACTAATATTATAAGAACTGTAGGGATGTAAACAATTCATTAAGTTATGTGGGAGAAGTGATGATTGCTTTTCCAGATTTCAGCAGCTAAATGAGCGACTAATAACTCCAGTCATCAAGTCAGTGTTGTGTTGTTGTGAAAACCACAGAGGGAGCCATAAACTGCATTTCACTGTTGATGACTAAACATCCACTTTGGCAGGAACCTTCAAAAGACTGCCAGATCTGTCAGGAATTTCTTTAACAGCTGATATAAATTATCTCCTGCTGGCAGACAACAAAACGGATCAAAAATGAAGCAGCATGAAATTTCAAGGTAATACTGTGTCTTTACACTCACTCAGTTGTGTGTTTTTGGGGTATGAGCGCAGCTTCTGTGAGTAAATTGCCGTCATGGGTTCCATTGGTTAAATTGCTAGCGCAGTTAAAAATGAGATTGAAGACATATCCAGTGACTGCTTCTCCCCAGGTTATCAGCCCCCCTCCAGGATGTGAGACACGTAAACAGTGCAATGAGCCCACATGTGCTCCAAGATAGCACTGCTGATGATTGGCCATTGCAACATACAACCCTGCTATCCCATGCCTGCTGAATTAGTTGCTTAGCAACACATTGGCTAAGTCTGTTATCATGGTATCCATTCTCCTTCACAACCCCCTGCATCGCTCTTCCAAACAGCCATGTTTGTTACCAAAGTGTCTCTTGCCCTGATTTATCTCTGCAAAGCTTGTATGAGTTTTATATTTGTAAGAATACAATGCAAATGTTCTAATGTATTATGTAAGTATTTGGATTATGTTAATTTCTTTCTCTCTCAGAATTCAAGGAGACGTTAGGAAAATTGCCGCCAGCCTGTGCCTGTTCTCACTTTACAAGAAATACCAAAATGTGAGAAGAAATGTGGGAAGGAAGTGTTTCAGTCCATTGCTCCATGCAGGCAGAGCTCTGCAGCACACTGAAAGCAAACCTGATTTCCACACCAGTTAATTGGTTTCTGCATAAATGGATACATTATTCTATTAACTATACTTATAATGCACCTAATCTTAGTTTGACTGTTGTAACTTTATCTTTGAAGAGATTTTACTATACATTTTAGGGTGTCCTGACATTATGAGAATGACAACAGGCACAGCAACAATGTAAAGTGTGAGAAAAACACTTAGTTTAATCTTAATCCTAAACACTCACTTTTGCTCGAGGTATGCACAAGTAGTCAATCCATTTATTAGGGGACAAATCCCAATTGGAAAATAAAATAAATTATTTTTGTCAATGTAAAAATATCAGCTGTGTATGGATATTGTGACTGCATGCTGTGACACCAGCAGAGCAATCTATTTTCAGTTTCCTTGTCTTGGCAATAGATTCTGTGCGTAAGTATGGTCGTGGACATGCTTGTATTCATGCACATTCTATAATCACAAGTTTGTGAATTGGACACTTTGAATAGGAATGTTGTCATGCACGCATTTAACCCACATTTGTGCTTAGGTGAGGTTGACAAATCAGGGAGCAGGATCTTTTCTGTAGACAGGAAAACACCTAACTCAGAGAACATACGACGGTATATAACATAATTCAAAGAATGGGGGAAAAACTCCAAAGCTTTTTGTAATTCCCTTCAATGTTATGATAATCCAGTTGTAGAAATGTTCTTCATTCTCTCAAGGTTCTTCATTGTATTCAAGCTTGTTTTTCCCTGCTAGCGTGAGATGAGAAGTTTGGTGCTCACCGAACAGATCACCGGCTATTATCACCACATCAGGACCTGCAATCATAGACAATCACTCTCACATCCAGAATGAATTCAGATTCACCACTTAACTCATTATAATGCCAGTATATGGAGTATAATTATACTCTATGTTACAGTTTGTTTGTGTAGATGACAGATTTAGTCTATTAATTAAAATACAAAGCAATGTGCTCCAGATTTCACATTACATTCAAAATAATGTTGTTCTGTTTTTGCACAAAAAAGGCTTGTGCCTGTATCCATGAACTACAGCAGTGTGTGTTTGATGGTGAATCCTCTCTGCCTGTGACCCAGTCTTTGCTGCTCCCTCTCTCTGCCATCACGCTAAAGTTAATCCTGATTATGTGCACCGTCTAACTGCTGCAAAATGACACCCGGTCTAATGCTATTTTATGCAGAAACATTTCCAAAATCCCGTCTTTTGTTCCCACATCTAATCACATTTCATTGCTTTGTGCTGGCGCAGCCATTGCGAGGATAGGTTTAATTAACTAGTAAGTGTGAAATATACGAATCCATCTACATTTACCAGGATGTTTTATTTCAGAGCAGAAAAAAGAGCTGTCAGGCTGATGCTCAAGTAAATGGTTGTGTCCAATTTTTACACCTAAATGCTGTATAGTGATTCAATAAAAACATTCATTTAAGCAAGATTATCCTTGACAGTTATCTGTATATCTTTCAGCTTCATTTGCATATAAAATCAAAGAAGTCTCATACTGTTTATTTGGCATGGGTTATTCCATTGCTATTTCCACCATTTATGGCTACCCTTTGGTATTGTTACTGCATTGGAGGCTGCATCAGCTCCAGAAGATGGAGACGAGTCCTGGCAGCCCTTGCGGTTGAGCAGTAATTGCTGTGGAGCTGCGGCTTGTTGCTGTGTTGGATGAGATGGATAAGTGGCTGACCCAGTCTCCGCGCTATAATTCCTCCGTGTCACAATATGAAAGAGGCTTAAGCAGAGGAGAAGAATAGTGATTGTTCGTACTGTCGCTCTGCTGTCACCTCTCTGCTGTTTTTCTTACTGCTTTTTTCTTCTCATCTCAGAGACTAGCGCTTAGCTCCAACCATTTAGATTTCCTTCTGGGGTCTACTTTATCCAAAGCGTACTGCACGTAGAGGCGTGATATTTTAGCATAGATCCATTCAGCTGGTTAATTCAAAATAATATCCAGGCAACTTGAGTTGCCACTATAGGTGGACATGTCCTATATTTAGGAACCTACTGCAACCATACCAGTACACATGCATGAACAGTGAGAGAGCACCGCGTACCATTCACACCTAAATATCTGAAGCTTTTCTCTGTTGCTGTCTGTTGTTGTCTGTAGCTTTGGAAAAGAAATAGAAAATGGTCTAAGTATGTTGTTGTTATGTTTGAATGATGTTTTGTCATTTTATCTTAAAGAATACACTGTAAGACAATTTGTATACAATACCATGAAGTACTTTGTGTCAATTTCAGATTTACATGTCCTAGTATGTTTAAAGATATGGTAAGACTCTTTACCAAGTGTATTGATAACTTCTACGCCACTGAAGGCAGGCAGAATTTTCATAATCAGAATTAGACCTTGTGTGAATCTTAAGAGCTTGAGAAAAAGGCGAGTGGACTTTATTCAAGGACAAGACACTGAAACACAAAATCCCACAGCTTGTATTTTGGAACTGAAGAAGCTTTGAGATGAGATGTGAAATGCCTTCAAGATCCAAAACATCCAGTTGAATTTATTGAAGCTCTTCAGATCACCATGACCTGGATGACTGAAAAACTAACCCAACACCTTCAGGAAATTACTAAATCTATCATTTCTGGGAATAAACTATACCTTTTTTTTAATGACATGAGGTTTTGAGTATGGCCTTGTGTATGTTTGTTATACATGTCACTTGAGCCCGTAGATATCCTGGCTGAACATGTTAATGAAGCACACAGTGGTGTGAATTAGTTGTGAATTGTGTGAATTACAAAGTGTAACTGTAACTTGTTAACAACAACATCTGTTTTTTGCCATTTTTTTGTTGGCCAACAGGCAAAACCATGATGTTTTGAACTTCATTCCCCTCTTGGACATTGGTCCAGCTAAATGGCAGTCATCACCATAGGCCATCTCAACTTTGTCTACGCGTTCACTGACTGTTAACATGCAAAATGAGGTCAATGAAGCATGCTATCCTAAAACAAATTAAGCATGTTCATTTTGTTACTTGCATTAGATGACAGAAACAAACTGAGTCACAGCCACCAGGTATGTTGATGGGAGGAGTTGATGCTTTATTTGAATCATAAACTCAAAGACCAAATGTTAAGTTTCTGTCAGAGCCTGTGGCAAAACCTCAGCCCTCTTGTGCAAAACAGATCCTAACTAACAACTTTCTAATTGAGGGGACAGAGCCCTTAAGGCAGAGTGGATGTGTGTCTGTGCAGAAGCAGGGGGACGATAGGAGAGATGTCGTTAAATTAGCCACACTGTCAAAGCAGTTTCCACTTGGCTTAGATTAACTGTCATCAGTGGAGCAGGCTCGGGGAAACCCTCATTGCTCTCTATCATCTTGCCTGCAGTGAGACTCAGACTCTCTTTGCCTTGGCAAGCTGATTAGAGGACAATCCGTTCCAACTCCCTGTGGACTTGGATACAAGCGGCATTCAGACAGCCAAAGAGCATCATTCAACGTGACCTGTTTGCACTTATTTACATGGGAAAAAGAGCATGCATGAATGATGCCCCGATTTTTGTTCCTGGTTATCACAGATCATGCAATGTTGGTTTTCAAACAGTTGGTCACAGTTCCGTTGGGCAGATAATGTGGTTTTAATATTGTGGGTTACATGCTTCAAACCAATTATGACAAACATTTGCAAAAGAGCAAACCTGTCATCCTCAAACAAACAGCAAAAAAATGAATCCACCTTTTTTCCCTTACGTATAGGTGAAAAATGTATGAGATTGTATCCTATTCAATGCACAAAAAGTCTCAAGACTGAATTTAAGATTAAAAATGTGCAAAAAAACCCAGGAGTTTGCATGATTCAACCAAAAATGTAAGGCTTTACCTGCCAACCCTTCTGAAGTTATATGAGATCTATGATCTTGTTTGTTGTTAGTTAAAAGCCATTCCTGATCCAACAAACTCCGTAGCTCCTAGTCCAGTCCCTCCCGTCTCTCCCCTGTGGCCCATCAGTGATGAAATTACCTACTGTACTCAGTGCCTGGTTTCCTCTTTCCTTTTTAGATGCTCTTATAAACACTCAATACCTCTTCTTATAGCAAATTAATCACTAACAATACTTTTCTTTACATAAAGTTGCCTACTAATTGCATAAATGTGAATCAGTGATGACATTTGGCTTTATGTGACTTGAATTATATACAGAAGTAGCTAGAGCGCTTATGTGCACCACTGCTACAATTACTACCGTTAATATTAGTACTATTACTATCAGGCCTACTCCTGTTACTACTATTACCACTATTTTAGTCGAATTTTCCTGAACATAATTTTTGCTTTGTTTTAAATAATTTTTTGGTCCAATGTAAAAAATTCAACTTCTTGTTTATCTATCTTTAATTAAATATTAACGCATTTCTAAAACAATTTATACACTTTATGTGTATGAGAGCTGCTATACAAATAAACCAGCCTTGCCTATTACTACCAATACTACTAGCCACTACTTCTTCCTAAAATATAAATTATTATAAAAACAACAACATACTGTTTTCATACTAGCAGCATTCATGATTTTGTAAATAACTTAAACATTAGTCCAACTGAAAAAAACAAACAATTAACATCTTTCTCAGGAAGCCACGCCGTACCTGTCTCCATGGCAACCCACTCCACGTTCATCAACAATGGGAATTGACTCTTGCTCGGGTTTTTCCGTTCCGTGTCGGAATCAGAGCGCTCGAGTGTTTACGCGAAACCCATCAGTCGAGTCTCTGAGCTCGCTGTTTGAGGTTGTTCCCGCTGATTGAAATAAGTCAGACGCAGAGTCTCCTGCTGCTGACATGGACACCACCAACCAGGTGAGGGACACCGAAAAAGATTATTCTGTCAAATGCATTCCGTGATGCAAATTGTCGTCCAGTTGGTCAGTGAATGTTAATTAGTGATGGAATTGTGTACATTTTTTTCTCACTCGCTGCTTTCACTCAGCTCGGACCTGCAGGGACACAAGTGCTCAAATTACCTCTGGGATTTATCCGTGTTTTGGAATGGGTGAGTTGGAAATCAGTTATTTTAATTTCAATATATTACTTGTAAAGTGTAAATTTATAAAGGCAATTGAGGCTGAGTGAGTTTTTTTTTTGGCGCTATGAACATTTGGATTTGATTAGATTTACACTCAGTGATTAAGCTTCACAGTGTCTGTTGGGTATTATTTAACAAGAAGCGGTATCTGTGTTATTCCCACACCTTACAGGCGATCATTTTTTACTGTGATCCTTTTCTCCATGACTAAATGGCTTAAGTTTATGTAAGGGTTTCCTGCTCTACAAGCCAGCGAGACAGTATTGTTCTGTGGCTTTCAATTATAGCAGCCTGTGCCAACCCTACACTAAAAAAAAGAGATAGAAAAAGAAACTATTTACCCAAACTGAGATGATTTACTGTAGCTAGAATCACCTAGAACTGGATAGGAATTGGGTGTCCCTGAATCAAAGCTTTGCCGCCCCTTTTTTTGTCTGGATGTGGGTTGCAGACTCTTGTGTTTATTACACAGTGCAGAGAAGCCTGGCGCCAAATATGATAAGTGAATTTCTTTGATGTGAGTTTAGTGAAATCACTGTAGCCGTAAGCGTATTCATCTGTGACTCCATTGGCGCGTATTTATCTTTGGATGTGTGTGAGTCTTGAGGCATCAGAAAAAATGCTGAAAAATCAGATGAAAATAGTCAAAGCTTTCGAGTGGAATTCTGCTGTTCTTCATACAGTTGGTCATATACAATCGTGGTTGGGCTCATCAGCATTTGAACTCCTGATATGAATCCTTTCGTTGCCTTTTGGGCATTTTTAGTTCTTTATTTGTGAAAAGGGAAACAGGTGTGGCAATGAGCATCTCCTCATCCCTATCCAACCTCCCAATTTTCATGTTTCTTGCACTCTTAAAGGGACCAAATCTAATTTGTCACTCTGACTATTTTGGAGAAGGAAACATTACTGGCAACTCTGCCTGTGGACGCAAACAATTGCTCAAATAGAAAATCAAAAGTTCTTTTTTTTTAGTTTTGCCTTGGCTGTTACACTCCTGTGATAGAGAAAGAGAGGATCTTCCCTTTTGGACATGTAAAAGGAAAATATGAGACGACAAAGATGATTGGCTGACATTAAGGTGACCAATGATCTCTGCGTTCACTGTCATAATTACATAACCAACTGTGTATGTAACAGCTGATGCACTGGCAGTTGGGCAGTGGCCATGTTGCCAGATTTGTTTGTACACAAACACATAGCCATATAGCGTACCCATATCCTGTAAATCCATGGAGTGTATGGATATAACATCGCCTTGCTTTAACATTTTATTTCACAACAGATCAGAGGAGGCATCTTCCTGTCATAAGCAAACTTCAACAAAACAGATGGACAAAGTATTTTAATCAGGATTACCAGTGAATAGGAGCTACTTCTTTTTAAAAAAAATTTTACTGTTGCCATGGCTATGACTGAACAATTTATAGCTTGGACACTGATAGTACTTTTTTAGAGATTGTGCTCTTGCAAATCTCAGCTTCTTTTTCAAGGTTAGTTCTGTACAGACTGATATCATTTCACACCTCATGGTCAGTCTGACATGGATGGCACTCATGGAAGCACAAGTAAAATCATCCCTCTTACTGTATGTATGGTCACAATCTAAATGTTTGCCATTAAATGTTTCTACAGTAAGAAACCAGCGGCCACAGAAGTGACACACACTTTGCTTTGTTACATCCTCCCAGGCATCGAAGGCTTTTGTTCAGGCTCTGACATTTACCTTTGCTCATAATGAACTCTTGACTGCTGGAATGATTGTTTGCATGGACAAACAAAAGGTTGTCTAAATGTTATGTTTACCGTAGTCCACCGCTGTGAGACATTCATAACCAGTAGTGTCAGCAGGTAAATGTGTGTGTGTTTGTGTGTGGGCTTTTTGTTTGACCATTTAACCAAAAACAATTAAAAACAATATATATATTTTAAGTGTTGGACAGGTATAAAGGGGATGTTTAGGGCCACATCTTGGCTTCCGGGAAAGGACAGGATTATTGTTGAAATCAAATCAACAATTGAGACCAGCAATCGGTCCATACAAATAGAGAAAAAACTCTAAGTGTGTGTGTGTGTGTGTGTGTGTGTGTGTGTCTTTGGCAAGCTGTCATGCTGGCATATTCAGCTCACAAACAGCTGTAAGGTCCCCTCCTATCCACTGCTGACCAACTCATGCAGAAGCTGTCCTTTGAGATGTGCCCAAACTCCTCACTGTTTCTGTCTTCTTGCTTATGCATGTGCGAGGAAAAGACTAGAATAAGGAAAAGGAGGGGTAAATTGTGCAGTTACTTAAGCACATGATAAAATTATTAAAATGACCAGGCTGTTGAGCCGTATCACACGGCTCGCTTCCACCAGTACAGTCGTGTTTTTGAGTGAAGGGCCTCCGCGTGTACAGAACCGAAGTCTGACCCACTGTTCCGTGATTACATCATCTCTGCGTTACTGTACTCCAGTTTCATTTTCCTTGGGGTGATCTGAGAGTTGTGTTGTTTTATCTACTGAAAAGGTTTTATCTACTGAGAGGGTAATTCCCAACATTTCAGTTGCACTTGGAGTTGATGGTTAAACTGTCAGATTGAGTTATTTGGGGTTTAGCCTTTTTGTTACAGTTCTAAAAACATATATAAACAACAAATATTTACAGCACTGTGATGCCGTAAGAATTATTTATGGTTTCTGTTGTTTATGAATTCCATTTAAAAATCAAGAGATGTTGTTGCCGTGCACAGCTTGAAAGCATGCTTTATATGAAATAAGAAAAAAAGTCCTACTGTATCATGGCGTATGCAGACATTATAAGTCTATTTTGGAATGACTTTTTTTGTCACTTTGTAAGTGATCTGTCACTCTGCTAATCTCTCGGTGCAGGTTTATGAGGAGCATTCTTAATGCTGCACAGTGCTTATCATAAACATTTGTGCAGGAGCATGAGTGCCCATAAACGAACACCAGAAAAACAAGTGAAAGTGAGATGCAGAGAGATGGACGACAGCTGCAGATAGATATCACAAGAGATTTGCCGGGGCAGATATATGTCTTTTTTAATATAAATAACTCCCATCAATTTGACAAGGATGCACAAGGCTGGAAAAAGCATAGCATATAACGCTGGAGAAGACCCCTTTAAGCAAAGAGTCTGTTTTAAACTATCTCCACTTGTTTTGGGTCAGAAAACTGATGACTTTCAGATTCAGTCAGTTATTATTCTGTGACATTAAGAGGGTTATTTCACCCTTCTCAGGTAAACGTTTACAAAAAGGGAGCATTAATGATACCTATCACATATCTTTGTACATGTCATTGTAATTGTATTGGAACCTTTGTCTCTGGGGTTTCAAAAACACTTCTTAACAGTATAATTGTCAAATTGATGTTACTTAGCCGTCTAACAAAGTACTGCTTCCACAAATGTTGAAATCATAAACTGTTTGTCTTTTTGTTTTCTATCTAACGTATTGTCATAAAATTGCTCATGTTTTAGCAGCTTTGAAATCAAGTGAGGCTCTGTGGTGGTTTGTGAACACATGTTGTGTTCTTTATCCTTCTGCCTGAGAAGGGAGATATTTGTATCTCTGAATATATCATGCTCACACACATCAAGGCTCATTGACACCACAATGTGCATGTGCAAAGCATAGTTATTCTAATTCAAAGTCACATGTGCAGCCATGCAACCTGAACATCTCAATCAAAAGAAATACTGTATTTACACACAAGCATGAAATGACAGGAAATTTATATTTTCACATTTTATTGATATTATGAGCTACATTGGGTAATTAGTGGGTTTCCATCTTTATTTAAAGGAATTTCCAGAGTCATGAAGGCAGGCAGAAAATGAAAAACAACTCTCTTATTCGATTTCTCTTCAGTAAGGATTTAATTACATTCAGTGTGGCAGAGCTACACTTAGTGAGATGAAAGGAGGCAGTTAAAACAAAGCGCTGAAAGACAGAGTCACAGGTGTGGAGTGAACAAAAGCCTTAATTAGTTGATAATAAAAGTCATTCTTGCCACAAAATACTAACTCCAGACTTAAAAATTGGCAACTAATACAAAACCACTTTCTGTTGGTACAGTGATGATCAAAATATGTACTTACCGGTAAGCTGAAACAGAAGCAATCTTGAGCTAATATTTTTAGCTTCAGTGAGATGTTTTTCCTTCCCTTTTGAACGTGTATAGTCATAAAAAAAATTGGACCGATCTGCTAAGATATTTATCAATTAATAGATGAATAGACTTCTATCTTGAAACCCATTGGAGAGAAGACTGAGAACATCAGAGACATTTTTTTTCCTCCTCAGTCAGCCACTTGTCACTGCATCAATGCCTATAAACCTAAATAGCGCATGTCGATGATGTGGCATCTGTAGGAAGTTTGCAGAGATGCTAAGTGCAGCTTATCAGCGAATGTATCTTTCAGCTCATTTACCAGTGAATAATCCAGAGCTCCTCAGTGCCTCTGTGTCATTGTGACAGTGATAGGCTCCACTTTTTGCCTTTATTTTATTCATTTTGCAGCCACATGCCTTTTATTTTACAAAGCATCTCCGTCACTTCGTCTGTCTTGATTATCTTGCTTTTTTCCTTTCTGTTTTGAATGTTATATCACCAGTAGAGACTGCGTGTACCAGAAAGTGGGTTTGATTCCTGATGGTCAAGCCTCAGGCCAGTGGATCATTTTCATAATCCTCGCCCTGGTTCCACTCTTCCTCAGTATTCACTCACATCTTCACTGGAGCCTCTCATCCTGCTCCACCTACATAAAAGACACAATCATTACCAGTATCCATTCGTCTAAGGCTGATGATTTTCACATTTTCAGTGCTATGTAGGTCAATCCAGATAGAGCCATACTGGGACATTTCATAGCTGTGTTTACATTGTAAATGAGTTACATTCGTGCACTACGGGTTTTCTCTTCTCTTCCCTAGAACAATTTCCCCCTTATTCTTTTTCTCCTAGTCACCCTTTCTACCTCTCTATGGCTTTTGTTCCCCGAGGAGCCCAGCTGGGAGAAGCAGATAAAAACAAGGGGGCGCGGGGCTTAGCATCCACCCTCCTTCCACAATGCCACGCTCCCCTGTTCAAAGGCCTCGGCCATAAATGAGAGGAACTAAACCTGGACCGGAAATCACAGGCAAAGGTAGCAGCTGGAAGAGAGCGCAGATAGACACACAGAGAGATGTTTATCTGTGGGTGTTGAGATAATTACAGGGAGAATTTACTCTCTCACTGCTCGGGTCACTTCTCTTCATTTGCTTTATTCAGATTATGCTGTCTGCATCTACAGTATGTTTCTGTTCCTTTGATGGAAATAAAAGAAAAGAAAAAGATTGATTTGAAACTGAGAACTTGAAAAACATGCTTTTAAGTAAGACAAATCTTGGAACTGAAACAAAAGTGTAAAGAGAGTGTATCAGTGCTAAACACTTCAGTTGAGGAGTTCCCAGCAGAGGTTGCAGCTGTGTCGATCTGGTAAGCAGCATTCAGCCTCCACCTGAGGCCCAAAGGAGCAGAAAACAAGTGGAGACCTCCACCTGAGGCCCAGAGCAGCAGAAAACAAGTGGAAATCGGAGTGATTCCAGAGTTCTCACCTGGGCTGACCCCAACTAACCAGACAATACATTCTCATTTCACCCTGACAAACCATCAGTTTTTTTCAGCCAGGAATCTCACCCACTTAAGTCTTTAAGCAAGTTCATTTGTAAAAAAGCTTTTAAGCTTGTCAATGAATTTCTGTTTTTAGTGATATGATCAGTCTCAATAGTAAAACTGTATCCCATGCTGCTGGTTTTAACATTTATATGCAGAACATTCACTGTTATTAACCGCTTTATGACTAACATCACAACTTTATCTATCTATCTATCTATCTATCTATCTATCTATCTATCTATCTATCTATCTATCTATCTATCTATCTATCTATCTATCTATCTATCTATCTATCTATCTATCTATCTATCTAT